AACAAGTCACAGACACCAACTGTAAAGAATCGCAGCCCTATAAAACTTGACAAGGAGTAAGTGATATAATGAGACGTGTTTAAATAAAACGTGTGTAGGTTTACTACTAGTTCAACTACAAAATGATAACATAACCAGGTTTAGCTCAATAAAAATGTGTACATAATTTTTGAATAATGTGTTATCTTTTCTCTCAAAACCGATCGTTGAAACTGATCAATGTTTGTTTTTGTAATACTAATTTAGGCCTTTGTTTTCAAATCCATGTAAATTAGTGTTAAGTATTAGGCCTTTACATATGATAATGACAACGTGAGGACTGCTGTGTCGAATAATTACCGGGATTAAATATATCACAGGAACTCCCATTGGTTGCTATATCTCTGCTCTGTGCTCGTTGTGAGGATCGAACTCCGAATTCTAGCGTGAAAGGTACTCAAGCTTACTGGAACTCGAGTCTCATTAGATATTATACACATATATATATTGGAAACTATTGTTTGTATTCACAAAGTCAAATTGTAACAAAAAAAAAACAGTATAGAAGCTGTACAACTTCTTGGTTACTATAAATACTATAAAATATGAATTTTTGTCAGGTGAACAAATACGGGATTAAAACAGCCATGCGACCGAAGTATGATACAGTTGAGTAAGATAGTCGAATATAGCACGTTGGTATATGTATTTATATATATACAGGGTAGCCAAACAAATTACCCACGTTTCAAATGCTCATATGACTATAGTAAATGAACCTATAAGCCAGCGAAACATCTATATTAATATTTCATACAACAAATTAACTGTACATACACTGTTGCATCATTGGAGATGCTCAAACTAGGCTCGACCAACATTCAAACAATCATGACATCTACGACGGAGTGCCTCACATGCTGTTTTGGGTTTATTTTTAGACATTCTCCAATACGGAGTGAAATACAAATAAGACTTTTAGAAATGATATACAGAAGTTGCATAACTTAAAGTATGTGTACATTTTTTGGGCCACCTTGTATATATATATATATAACAAATATATATGACATTACTGTTTATCCTTTCAGTGCTATTTATGGTCGACAGTACGTCCTCCAAGATAAGAACGAGGTGAGTTTTAAAACTTTAAACATTACATAATTTCCCTAATTTCTCACCATAGTATACACAAACATTGCTATTAATAAATGAGTAGTAACGTAGCTATGGATTGTTAAGTGTTTTAAGCTCATATTTGGTTATCCCTCAAAAAAATATTAGAAGCTTGTTAAATTGAATATTTTTACAACGATTGGAACTTTAAGCAAGGCCAGGGTATTAGGGCGCTCGACTCGCAATCTGTGGGTCGCGGGTTCGAATCCCCCCTCACACCAAACATGCTCGTCCTTTCACCCGTGGGGGCGTTATTATGTGACGGTCAATCCCACTATTCGTTAGTAAAAGAGTAGGCCCAAGAGTTGGCGTTGGGTGGTGATGACTAGCTGCCTTCCCTCTAGTCTTACACTGCTAAATTAGGGACGGCTAGCGCAGATAGCCCTCGTGTAGCCTTGTGCGAAATCTATAACAAACAAACAAACTTTCAGCAAGTTTATGTGGTATATGTAGTGTTTTACCCATTTCTCTTATATTCGAGGCATTTTCGTTGGAGAAACAGCCAGACTTAGTTGAGCTGAAAACTTCTCTACCAGTTCTGAGCAAACCTTAAACTGAGTTTCAGAGTTTAAGATTAGAAAATACCTATAAGAAAAACTGAGCTTTTAACTTTCTAGTATTTATTTCATAGTATTTACAATGCAATATTTACAAAAATCGAAGCATTTTTTTTGTCTGCTAATTATACATTGAATATTCATTTAAATCTTAGATGTAATTATATCAGAAGGAAATTGTTAAGGGGAAATGAGTGCAGATAAAGGCATTTTAACACCCAGTCTACAAATCAATAAGATCGAGATCTGGGGTATTGGGTGGGCTATAATGGGGTGTCACGGTTTCCGATAGTCAAGTTAGAACAACAACAAAAAGTATCCAAGAAAAGAGTTCGATGTGTTAGGCTTAAAAACCCACATTACTGCAAGAAGAACTCACCCCTCAATGGTGTTCTGACTAGAAGATGCGGAGTTTAGGGGGTGGTGGTGGCGAAATGTGTTCCTCTTGTACAAAATAGTAGAAGTGTTCAGGTTCAGGCAGTTAATGCAGATAACCAACTTGCAGCGGCAAGTAAGTTTGGTTGAGCTTTCTTTGGCCATTTCTATCGACAGAACTCGTGAAAACCGCGAAGAAACGGCTTTATAGAGCATACATAGGAACTAGATTTTATTTGCACAATAACAGTGTTGAGTGTGGAAACTAATGCAAATTATAAATGGTGTATTTAAGTGTATTACACTCACAAAAAAGAAAGAAACCTATCATTCTATAGGTATTTGAAGAACTTGTAGCATTTCGCCACAATTTAATTCTTCGTATTGTTAGTCGACACTGGTCTGGCTCTCAGACACACCCCCAATGAAAGAATAGACCATTCCAAGCTTTTACTTGTTGTTAAACAAAGGTTTAAACAACTCTATTCAATAATGCAAATTCTACCACGTTGGTGGATAATTCAGATTCCAGATATTGATTTTTTTTTAATTTAG